AAAATATATTATAAAAGTTGAAAGGTTAAAACTAAAAAATATTAAAGGATTAAAATTAAAAAATAAAATAAATTGGATTTTGTATTTTTTTTTATTAACTTGGATATACAACTCACTATGTGAGTCGGTTAATTCCAGGATGACCACCTGCTTTGCAGATAGTTCGGAATCACCGCATTTGAACTTCCGTGATTACAAGGAGATTTTTATTCCTTTTTGGATTTGAACTTGGGACCTCCTGATATTTTTGATTTTTGATGTCAAATTCAAACCAATCAGATACCATCTTATGATTGATTTTATATATTTTATTGTTTTATATAGGAGGAGTATATAAAAAGTAGGAGAGAAATGGTGGGTTTGGGATATGAATAAGCCTTAAAAAAATGAATTTCTTATTCAATATTCAAAGTGACCAAGATTTGGAAGTGAGAAGTTAACGTATGAACATCTCGCCACGTGTAGTCTCCAAGAACCAAGTAGATATTCAAAGACCACGCATCAATGAACTGTACCGTACAAACGGATATGCGTGGGGTGCCTCTTATACCGTGGACCGACGCAACACCATAACTGAACTATTATTTGTAACAGACACACGTCAGAACAATATATGAGGGTTATAATATAGTTATTCCACGTCTGGGGTCAGTTTCTTCCACCGCCAGAAACTGGTATTGTGTAGAACGATCCATAACTAAATCAACGTTCATCAAATCCAACCTAATTCCCGTGCTATTTCGATCTTCCACGATGAATAGATTAGTTGTCAGGTCGGTTTTGAGTAGGTGTTTGATCAACAACGGCCGGAATTTTAACATGTTGCAGTCGCCGGAGTTGGCGGCAGCAGTCGTATCGAATTTGAGGCTGTATAGTCAGACTCAGACGGTAATCGATAGGGATCATGATTTTGGAAGCTTTAGATGGAGGAGAATGATGAGCTCTGCTGCGGAACCAGCGTCGAAGGCGCCGTCGGTGAAGCAGAAGGAAGCGGGAGCTGAGAAAAAGGAAGGCGGAGGTCAGGTTGTGCCTTCGAGTTATTGGGGAATTTCGAGATCTAAGGTTACCAGGGAGGATGGTACTGAGTGGCCTTGGAACTGTTTCATGGTACCTAATTCGCTCTTGCTTACTTTGATATTTGTTTTTAACGTGATCACCGTTGCTTGCTTATAAATCTTCGTATGCAGATTGAGATTGTGCATTTCAGGGTGGACATTTTCATTTTGTTTCTGGAATTTATTCAGGCTTCTGATTGCATCTCTCTTTCTTTCTCTTGTTTTGTAGCCATGGGATTCTTATCAATCAGACTTGTCAATAGATCTCAGTAAGCATCATGTACCCAAGAATTTTGTTGATAGATTTGCTTTCAGAACAGTGAAACTGATGAGAATTCCAACGGATTTATTTTTCAAGGTATCTATCTTCCTAATCCAATGCTTATGCTTATTCCTGCCATTAATTATATTCAGGCCCGTGTCGGAGGGTGTACCAATGTGAGATTTAGAAAGGGCCTCGAGATTTTGTTGCGGCCCAATTATATATATTTGTAGCTTTTACTTGATCATATATATGTTAACTTCTGACCCATGCTTTAGGTGATCCCTTCAGCCCAATTGGGCAATTGGACTGTGTTCAACCGTGAGCTTATTCAAATCAATCTTTCATTAAAAGTTTATTTTTTCTCTCATACACATGCACAACCTTCTACTCCTATCCAACTTTCTGCTTTGTTTCATAAAAAAAGGTATATTCCGCTTGCTGAAGTCTGACTATAGGCACATACACTTGAGGCATGGTGAGTAATATCCGAGGTTGCTATCTGGCCTTGTAGTCTGACATTTTCCCAAGGAGTTTGTCTGAATGAACCATCAAGTTAATTACTCGAGCTACTGTTGGTATGGTTAATATGAATGTATCCTTCGGGAGTTAATGGGATCATACACTGGTAAAACGTTCTTGAGGTCAGTTAAAATACAATTTCATATTCGGGTAATTTGTTGTGATCTTAATTTGTCAATATTTCAATCATGATTCCATGAAACAAAATCGACTATATGAAACATCTGTGAATTAGTTAGAGAGTACAAACTTAATTTCTTGCTGCAAATTAGGATAAAAGTATATGCACCCCTCTTTATGTCAAACTCGAGTCAAATCCTGCATTGAAAATGTATAAATTAAGTTTTGATGTTGATATGTGTGAGAAGAAATTAATAGGTAATGGTGTATTTAGCCTACCCCTAAGAGTATATAACAACACCATGTGAATCATGTCCATGTAAAATTGTCACCCACTTGCCAAGTTAAAAAATAGAAATCCTAGCCCTCAGGGGGAACGATGGTGATTTGCCCCCAACCCGGTGGGGAACCCGGATCACCCGACCCGACCGGGGACGAGGATTTACCGCTAAATACAGGTCCGAGGCCGGGGCCGGGATCCACAGTAGACTCAAACCGGGGTTGGGGCTGGGGCCGGGGCCAGGGATCCCAATAGACTCAAACTAACGGATATTCTTCAAGAACCAAGTAGATATTCAAAGACATTGATTCAAGTTTAAAATGTTTAAAACGAGAATGTTGGTCATTGATTCATGTTTAAAATGTTGTTATGTTTCAGAGGCGATATGGGTGCCGTGCGATGATGCTTGAAACTGTAGCTGCCGTTCCCGGCATGGTGGGTGGTATGCTGCTGCACTTGAGATCTCTGCGTAAGTTCCAGCAAAGCGGCGGTTGGATCAAGGCGTTGCTTGAAGAAGCCGAGAATGAGAGGATGCACCTCATGACAATGGTAGAGCTTGTGCAACCCAAATGGTATGAACGGTTTCTGGTTCTAACGGTCCAGGGAATCTTCTTCAACCTGTTCTTCGTTGTATACATTTTATCCCCAAAACTGGCGCACAGAATTGTCGGGTATCTTGAAGAAGAGGCGATACATTCATACACTGAGTTCCTCAAGGACATTGAGAGCGGTGCAATTGAAAATGTTGCGGCTCCTGCTATCGCTATTGACTATTGGAGGCTGCCAAAAAATTCAACCTTGAAGGATGTCATAACCGTTATCCGAGCTGATGAAGCTCATCATCGAGATGTCAACCATTTTGCTTCCGTAAGTCCGATACCACCATTTTGATATAATATTGCAAACATGAATATCGAGATTGTTAGAATACATATGTGGAATGAAGGTCTTAACATATGTTGAGGAGAAATTGTCCAAGTCTACTTGATATGGGACTCTAGCAAAGATGTCGATCCTGAATTGTCCCAATGGATAGGAGGTGGAGTTTCCACAACGAAGTCGGTTATAATCCTACATCAACCTCGTTGAATTACCCTATAAAAGAGCTCTTAAAAAGAGGAGGAGGTTACAACATTTATCTAGTAGGATTGATTCACATCTAGCCAATATGGGAATCTATACAGGCACAGCATGTTTGAGTTCTTAGAGCAGTAAAACTTAGCTCTGATACCATATGAGAACATGTAGACGCCGAATAGGTTAAGAGTGGAGACAAGGAAAGTTCCAACATATATTGACGAGAAAATTATTCGAGTCACCACTCACCCTATATTTGAACACCTCTCCATGAAGGTTGTGGGACCAATACAGTAGGGGCGTTATGGAGGGTAGTGCAAAACCCATTTTATTTCACAACATGAGCATTTAATTGATGGTTTGTTATTGTTGCAGGACATTCATTTCCAGGGTAAGGAATTAAGAGAGGCTCCAGCACCTATCGGTTACCATTGAATCCTCCATTCTCATATACAAGTAAATGTCTCATCATTCGTGAAGGATTCAAAGTGTTCCTAGCCTATCCGTTTTTGGTCAAACAAACAAGCATTTGTACAGTAATTTGAACTCGTATTCTAGTTCCGTTTAGTATGGTTATGATGGTTACGGACTATCTTGATTAGAAGAAATTACCTTCTCGTCAATAGTTTGTAACTTACGAGATAAAATAATCTACGTTGTTTTGAAAATCAGTTTCAACGAACGTTTTATTGATTATTAAGTTTGGAGGTTGTCTATGAAGTTGCTGCACAACTTCAATGCGACTTGGAAGGTCGCCAATGTGAAGTCGTCCGGTATGGGTCGAACAGCAAGGTGACTTGTGGAGTTGCTTACGATTTTATTGCTTTATCTAGTTCATTTTGTTGGTTGCTTCATACACATTCACACAGCTTTTCCCTCAAATCACCATTGATGAGTTTTAGACCTTTTGACTTTCGTCTTAAATGTACAAGAGATCACCAACATGGATAATAGTTGAAAATTTGATTCGCTCTCGATGATAAAAATAGTTGATAAAGATTAAGATATTTAATATTAATTTTTTGGTTGATAATGAATTAGTAAGGGATTGTTTGGCAGTTGCTGAATGGTTTGATGCAAAATGATTAAGATGCTTTCATGATATAGTGCAAAATGAAATATAATTGTTTGGTAATTATTTACAATGAAATCAGGGCACTTAATGGTTAAGGGAGGCTTATGATACAAAATCATTCAGAGTGTTTTAGAACCATTAAAAGGCAGACTTTTTTTTGCCAAACAAGATTCACCTCTTAATGATTCAAATGTTGTCTCTTAATTACAACAACAACCCCTAACACTCCAAACATTACAACATATTGATATAAGCAAAAATTATGCTTTCTATCAAAGATGGTCCATGGGACCGTTTATCGAACATTTATCCACGTAAGCACATTTCCGGTTACTAAGCATGGTAGGACCGTAGGATCATGAATCCTATCCAGTAAGATGCAAGGCAAGGACTGACAATCTTATCCGTTAAGTGAAGGTAGTGATTATTGCCTAGTTAGCGTTTGGCGGGTAAGTACCAACAATCTCAAATGTGCCGTTTTGGTGGCCATGAATCTTACCGAGTAAAGTAAGTGAGAGCAACGACTCTCATCGGTCCTTGCCATGATTCCTATCGGGTAAGTTTTCCGGTCATTTCCATGCTCAACCGGTAAGGTAAGTCATATCGGTAATGCTTACTGATACGTGATAAATGGCCCTTAAACATACTGATAAAAAATTATTGTTGGTGACTTTAAAAACACTTAAAAAAACTTGTGCTTCGTGTTCCAGTTACAAAATTCTAAAAGGACATGACGAGTACGAGCCAACATAGGGTTCTGCCCTGTTTCTGTATTTTGATTTTTATTTTGGTTTCAATTTTGCTTTGAAGTGTTGTTGTGGCCAACAAATGAAGGGATAGCTATTTTGAAATTTGACCTTTTCTTATATTTTTGTGATACCGAGTCAACCGATGGTGGTGAAACAATATGCCATATTGGTGTTGGGTGGTTAATAGAGTAAATTACAACTTATGCCCCTATGGTTTGCTTAGAATCTCGATATGGTCCCTCTTCCGAAATAAGTATACCAAACATTCATATGGTTTGCATTTCATTACGAGCTTGTCCCTGACACTAACACCGATGGGTTAACTCACGAGTATAAATCATTTTTCGTTTTGTCTCATTTTAAATTAATAATTAAAAAGATTATATATTATATTAATATGTATATATATATACACACAAAACCAAATGCCGGTCACCACTCCTCCGGCCTCTCCTACATCGAAGCACCCTCACACCATGTACCTTCCTTTCTGAAACTCTCCTGCAACCCATCACCCCGCCAAACATCCTTCTCCGTCCAACCACAAGGACCTACGGTGTAATTTACTAAGAAGCCGTTTACCTAAATGCTTACCCGGTAAGTGTTTAACATTAGGAGTCTAACTCTATAATTTATTTTATTGGGTAAGATTATAGTACATCAAAACGTATTTTATAGAACAATTTACCTGGTAGGTGCTTACCCAGGTAAGAGTCTATCACTCTCACTTACCGGGTAAAACTCTTCATCCTTATCACCGCTCTTGCCGGGTAAGATTTTTGGCCCTTGCCATGTTCATCCGGTGAGGAAAATTACCCGGTAAGTACTTACCGGGTAAGCGTTTAGTAAACGACCCCTAAATATTATATGATATCATTGCTAATAATAATAATAATTTATATCGGCATGTTCTAACAAAACGGCAACAAAAGCATGTACTACTTGGTCGACTTTAATTTCGGTTCAAACGGTGCAAGAGCTGTTTCTCTTGTCTGCTGCATCAAAACCAAATCACAAGCTCCAGTTTCAGAAAGGATGTGTCCCTATTGCAATACATCTAAGTTACTACGAGTAACTGCGAATAATGGATCCAATTGATAAGCCTGAAACTGCGACAAGAAAGCTCAAAGGAACAAACTCTACGATTTTCCAAACCATTTGATTTCCAATATATAATACTGTTTTCCCCTAACAAGTCAAAACACCTGATAAACCATACCAAACCAAATGAACATGGTATGGTCTGAAGAAGATAGAATGTAGGGAGTAAGATTGAAACCAAATGAAGATGGTAAATCCCACGATGTATTATTTTGTTCTTCACACTAATTTATATGCATTTCATTCCTACATTAGCTTGAATGTAGAGAGTAAGATTTAGAGATGCCAAGGCTGTAAATATCTCCACTCCTCATAAAAGTCATTTTCTAGGAAAACGAGCAACTTCTTTTACTTATTCAAAAAAAAAGGGCATTTTCTGAGAAGGGAACAAAACAGAGAATTGTTGCAACATCTCCGTGTTCCACATGTACTGATTCAGAGATGAACAAGACATTTGATGCTACTTGTGTTGATGGCAATGGCATATTTCATAATGCACGGTGTAAAAATTGATAAAACCAAGAAACCAAACCGACCCAAAAAGGAACCAACTTTTTTTAAACTTGAACATTATAGTTTCCAAATCAAAAAACCACCTCAAGTTCAGGTTCGGTTTAGAACCAGAATCAGTTCTAAATGAGAATCAAAACTTTTAGATTTATCCAGTTTTCGGCCCTCAATACAGTGATGAAACCAAAATATAAAGTACAGCTGCATAACAAGGTATATTAGCTCATAAGCACCACTAACGAAAGAAAAATGCCAATTCATAATGTCCAGATAGTTATCCATAAGATAACCTAAAAGACTCGGGTTCAAATCCACACTTGGGTAATCAATTGATTTTGGACTTCTAGATCCAGAAAAGAAAATGTTTATGACCATGTACATGGGATATATATATATATATATATATATATATATGATTTTACCATTATATATATAGCAACATACAGATAATAAAAACCCAAACCAACTTCCAGAATTAAATTTTTTATGATAGGCAACAGATTAGCACAGATGCATAAACAACTACAGTAAAAAGCAGATAGAAAGTTGCCCATAGTAATTATACTCGTTGCTTACTTGTTTTGATTCAGGAGCGAAAAGGCCATAAAAACGATAACGGGTTCCTCCTTCCCCGACTATGGCCACCATTCTCCTCACTACCACCATCACTGCGACTGCTGCTTCCCCTACTTGTGCCCTGAGCAGGGAGTTCCAGCCGACATACAGGGCAGGAATTGTGCTGAACCAACCATGGCTCGATGCAACCAGAATGGTAGATATGGTTGCACGGCATTTGCCGAGCCTCAGATCCCAACTCAAACTTATCTTTACAAACTGGGCAGTGAGAATCAGTGTTAAGGTGTCTATTTGTGATCCTAATAGTGGGCATAGAATCAATTGCGGATCGGGTTGCTGGTGGTGGGCCCTCTCTGCTATCGTTCACCGTGAGTTGTTCAATCAGTTCCTGTAACCCAGGACCCATAAAGATGTTACTGACGTTAGACCGCCTTGGACCGGGTGGTGCTCCATTAAAAAAGAATTCAAATCTATCATTGGCAGACATCCGAGCCGGAGCTTGACCATCAAATATGAACCATGGAACGACACCGTGTTCAGGGACCAGCCCAGATCTCCTTCTAATATCAAAGTTTGGGTTTCTTCCAGCCATTCTCTGTCGGATTAACTCGGCAAAAGCATCCATGATTCTGTTTCTGGGGTCTGGGAATGGTTCCATGAACCCATAATCAGAAGCCCCGTGTGCATGAGTAAGCCCAATATCGTGTTGTCCAGCCTCAATCACCTCGCTCAGTTCTTGCACAAATTCTCCAGAACAATATGGGCAAACTGGATTACGACCCCGAATCCGGACTGGTTGCTGACACTGGTAACACCAATGTGTATTGCCACCACTCGACATTGCTAGTCAGTGACGAGGGGGTTTCACAGACCCAAAGACCAAAAGTATCTGAATTCAAAGAACAAGGATAAGATGGGAGCTCAATTTTTTTGTTAATAAAAATTTCCAAGTATTACTCAGATGAATCAATAGAACCTTGACACTTGGTTTTCATGTATATGAAGAAGAAAGCTACCATGAGGCAAAGTATTGGGGAGACCTATGTTGCACTTTTGGCCTAGACTAATTTATGTGAATAACATAAGTAAGAGAGAACTTGTTGAATGACAGGTTCAGTTTCACCTATGGTTGTTTTTGGACATAGGTTAGTCAATTGATTTGTAATGTTTTACAAAAAAGGCACATATCCAGAAGTTATGAAAAGTAAGATTCGGCACCTATCTGGAACAGAGGGAATACCCTATGTCTGAAAATATTCTTTTAGCGATTTGACAGATATGGCTAGAAACACTTTTCTAATTAGCCGATGCTCAACGCATATCCTCTAGATAACCGATAAGGGTAACATCTATATACCTAATATAACAATCATATTTAATTAGAAGTAGAATAAAAACAACTTATTATTCACTTGGACATACATCAGGAAATTCTCGCAAGAAGGAGAAGAAGAGAACATGCCAGGGCTTAAAGCATATATGGTTGAAGAACATGAAAAGACTGATAAGAGTAATTATCTTTATGCCTAAGGCAAGAATCATTAAATGATTATAAATAACATAAAACATACATTATTCACTCAGCCAATCTTCAAATGAAGTAATCCCCAAAAAGAAGAAATGCTTAAAGCAGCTCAAGGAAAAGAAGATGAAAAACAACCATTAAAAATGATATATTTACATCCAGCACATGGATCATATAGAGCTTGAATTAAAATCAAGTGTCATCCACTCAACCAAAATTTTAGTCATACATAATATCTTGGTGCCGCTTACTTAAAGAGGAGAAGGAGAACAATGAATAAACATTGCCAAACAAGGTGAATATGAAGACCACCGATCTGAAAATTTATCTACAGAAGACATAAAAGAATATCTGACAGAAAGAAGAGAAAAGAATGATAATCAACTAAAGGTAGGCATAAAACTTAGCAACAAGATGACAGCCAACAAGATGACAGCCAACAAGAATGATGCGATGTATGGTCAAAGGCCCTTCTTCCATGATTCATGTGTCTTTGTTATTGAATAAGACAAGAACAGGTAAGTATGACAAAATTGAAAGATAAAAAGTCATCCCCTTGTCTTAAGCTTTAAAAAGAGAAAATTCGAGTCCTGTCCTCCGAAAGTTTACTTCTCAAACACTAGAAGAAAGAAAAAAAATATAAAAGAGAAGAACACTAGATTATTATGATTACATAACCACCCTTACGCAAAGCCTTTTCTTTCACAAAGTAAGGATAAGTTTTTACTTCTGACCTTTACTTTTCTTCCCCACTTGCAAACAAAATAAAAGAAAGGAATATAACTTTCTGTCATAAACCCATGTAAAAGAGAGAAGAAAGCTTAAAATTCCTTTCATTAGTTTTCTTTTGGGTTAATTGCATCAAAATGTAACGTATTTTGTTCCGGTTACTATTTTGGGAACCAACTTCCAGAAGCTCAATTACTGTATCTAAAGACAACTTAAACAAGAAAGTTTAATAATTTTTTTCAACAATGATTCTTGGTTCACAAAGTTATGACATGTTCCCTTTTTGTTCCCAATGTTATAATATGTTCTCTTAATTGCATCAAAGACATAACAGATTCCCCAAAATTGAGTTTTTGAAATTAGGTTCCCCAAAATAAAAAGCAAAGCAAAGTACGTTCATACAAGTTTGTCCTTTACTTTTTTTGCTTAACTTATATAATTCAGATGTATGTTCGCCTTGAGCACATTTGTTCATTAAAAGAATGTATACATAACTCTGATTTCTTCTGCCACATCATACAAAAGCACATTTCCATCATACATTTGTTCCAACTAATTGTGAACTCTTGTCAACCAAATTAACATTAGTGTTATTTTTAGCCTGTTGGCAGTGTACGACGATTTGAGATAAAACAAACTCTAAACATAGCAACCTATCAAGTGTTATCCACCATGAATATACCGTATATTCACGAGGATAAACAATATCTGAAACAGACACAATATACACAACTGTACTTAAGATAAGAAAGTATTAAAATCCCTTCATCAGACAACAACGAATAAATTTTATTTCCTTACCAAAAATAAGTATCATGTTTAGCGACACAATGTGTTAAAGTGGCCTCTCATAACTGCATGTGTCCTTACTCTTCAAAAAAATTGCTAGAGGATTCACATTTCATAATACATGAATTTAATCGATACATCCAGTTTAACTACAGACCAAATTTCAGATGGAAGTTAACATATAAAACTGCCGGACTCTGATTTTATACAACACAAGCACAATTTTTCCCTGCAGAAATATGATAGGTTTTGTAGAAAAGTCAACTACGAAAATGATTCAGAATAATTCATATAGCAATACTTCAGAGCAGATTTGACATCGAATTCAGATTTCCGATGACAGAACCATGGAAACAAAAACACACAATCACATCCATACATCAGAAATAAACACAAAATCACAACAAATTTCTTAATCTCACAAACCTAAATTTCACTAGAGAATCTTCAGATCCGTATATACCAGTCAACAATCTCTAACAAACATAACAATTATACGACAGAAAAGACAATCAATCCGGATAGAAAAGAAAAACCTGATAATTGGAGGCTCGACAGATACCAAAATAAATCAAAGAGAATCTGACGTACCTAGATGATGATGACGACGATGTTCATGGCGGTGAAGACTTGAATTGGGCGAAGGTCACAGAGTGGATGAATGAGTCGACGTAGACAAGGAATATGTTTGACTGAAAATAATTCTGCGGTCTCCAAAAGCTCCGATAAGGATCGTTTTGGGCGGGTCGGACCTACAACCCTCCAACTTGTCGTGTGAAACCCATTGGAAGGGGTATCGCATGCCCAAAAAAATCATAAACCTAAAAAGATTAAAAGAATAATTTTATATGAGGAATCATTACAGCATCGTTATCCAGTTGTTTATCCGGTAAGTGTTTATTGATAGGAGTCAACACTATAATTTATTTTGGTACGTAAGAATTTAGTACATCAAAACATATCGAATACAACAATTTACTAGATAAACGTTTACCAGAGTCATCATCATCACTTACCAGAAAGACTCTCTGTCATTCCCATCGCTCTTACCCGGTAAGATTCTTAGCCCTTACTCATGTTCATTCAATGAGAAAATTTATCCGATATGCATAAAGCATTTGCCAAGTAAGTGTTTAGTAAACGGCCCCTAAATTTAATTGAGACATAGTTCTTTTTTTTTTGGGTGTGAAGCGCTAGAGATGATATTTTCATTTCATACGGTTCCTCAAACGTCATAAATAAATCTGTACCAATTAATTATAATTGATATATATAATTTTATATAATGTATCAGTCAATTGTATTTGATATCGATTTAATTGGTACATCTTTTTGGTTTGTATATGTTGTTATTGGCTTAGAGGGTGAGTTTCCGTACAGAACATAGTAATCGAACTTGCCTCATGGTTCACCTAGGAATCCGACAACAAGATCTCATGCCTTCTCGAAAACTGGGAGACTAGGAGGCTATTCTGATAAAAGACTCCCACAAATATGAAAACTTGTAATTTTCAAATTTTAAGTTTACAGCACCTCCAAAACCATCTTCGATCGTGGACCACCATTGTTCATTGTCCATTGCCACCACCACTACCACCGTTAGTCACCTCTATTTTCTCTTCTATTACAACTTCTTCCACCATCTCCTTCATAACTACCGTCAACCACCGACCACCACCGTTCATCTCCACCACCATTACCATCATGGGTCACCTCACCTTCACCATCAGCTACCACTACCATCGTCGGCCACCACCATTACCACTATCTACCATATTTACGTCCTTCACAACCACCGACCACCACTGTCCATCTCCACCACTACTAGTATTGTCGGCCACCACCACCTTAATCAATTGATAAGGATATTTTAAATCAAATAAAACATAATTTCTTATTTCTACGTTAATGGGGTTGTTTCAAACTATCATCAGTTATATTAAATTTTTCATTCAAATTTGGTATTATAATATATGTATGTATTTATGTATATGAAATATATGTAAAAATATTTATAAATTATATTATTTACTTTATTTGTGTTAATTACAACTAATGTATGGTATATAAAACCATCAAATAAGTTTAGGAGGCAACTTGTCTAATTATGTCATGTTCAGTCCAGTCCTAGTCGTACCAAACACCAGACAAACAATTGTCCAGTCTCGTTCAGTCTTACACTCTTGTCCAATTCTATAATGTACCGTCATGTCTAATCATGTTTGTTTAGCAAACACTACCTACCACATTTCTATTTTCAAGGAATAAAAATTGTGAACATTAAATGTCAAAGAAAAAGGTTAAAATTACAACATTTAATTAAATAATACATAAAAAATACAAAAACCAATAAGTAATTAAATAAGTTGGTGTCATGGTACTACCGTGGTATGAGACACCCAATACCAACCGAATGCAATTGGTACTAGTTAAATTAGTACGGTTAATACACATGTTGGTCGATTTAGTTTGGTATTAAAATGTCACCCCTATTCGAGACCATCACATAACTATTCTGTATTTTTTATAAAATAGAGTATCGTTTAAAATCCAAAAAAAAAATCCAACTCCAATAGTTACTCTATTTTGACAGTTACAACATTAATTATATTATTAAAATATTATATACATTTAATAAAATATTAATTATCTGCCCTAAATATTTATTTTTAAAATCTCTTACTGGTGGGAAATAATCAAAATATTATTTCTATTTTTTATATAAAGTTTCATATCTTACTGTATAATATAGCATAGTTCTTAGGGGCTGTTTGGATCATGGGAATTGAAAGGAATTGGAATGTCCAATCATTTGACCAAATTCCAAATAGAGTGTTTGGTTCATGGAATAAGACTATGGAATCCTTTCAATTCCAGTCGATTCCTTCACATACAGATTTTACAATTCCATGGCAATATGCTAGGATTTCAATTCATTTCCTACAGATTCCTTCCCTAATCCAATTCTGTTAAGAATTTCATTCCAATTCCATGCAACCAAACGCAATCACAAGGCATGGTCAAATTCCATCAGATTTCATTATATTCCCTCAAAGTCAAATTCATTTGATGAATTACAATTCCATCGAATTCCATTCTACGAACCAAACGCCCCCTTAGATTACAAAACTTTCCTAAATCACCATATGTCGCGTCAAAGGTCGTTTACGTCTATGATTTAGTATCACATGTGATTGATTATAGTATCACATAAAGAACATCCTTATCACATATGATAATACACATGAGGGGGTTTAGTGGTGTTAGCGCGACTTGGTCTGCTACCTAGATCACACCAAAAATTGTGTGCACTCTGATTTACTATCACATTTATATCATATGTGATGAAATATAGTATCACATGTGATTATCTACGGTAAAAAGGTGTTCTTGCGTTCTCGTAAAATAAAGGTATTCTCGTTTGAACCCTTCTGTAGGTAATAAAACCACGATCTTTCATTTACGTGGTTATAAAATGTTTTTATAACATCTTTTTACTTATATATTCATTCAAGAATTAGATGGGTCAAGTTTCATTTTATAGATGTATCAAATGTTGGTTTGTAAGAACTAAAATCTATGCCATTACAAAAATGTTTATATGATTGAATGACTTTTTATCTCTATATCAAAGTAGAGGAGCGATCAAATACAAATCGTGTAAATCACTCTCATCCGTCGATTTCATTGTTTAATCTTATGAAATTTTTTCATGAAGTTGTTTAATCTTGTGAAATTGTTTCATATAATATTTTTTTTTTGATAAAGTTGTTTCATATATGGTTATGAAATTGTTTCATATAATACTTAATGAAATTGTTTTATATATTTCTTTAAAATTAAAATAATGAATATGATAATATCCATGATTAATACCCTCCACAATAAAAATGATTAATCAACCTCTCATAATTATAAAAAAATGAACAAAATCAATCTTAACTTTTCTAACATAATTTATCCATCAAATTATAGAAATCAGTTACATTTTTTAGAAATCTGTATAATTCATTTCCCGTGTGAATAACGAAATTGCTCAATTGCAATTATATGTTTTATCATAATCCACATTATCTATACTGTATTATAAAATATTTGACAAAAACTCTTAAAAACTATTTTTTATGCCTAAAATATTATTTATTAATGCATATTACTTAAAACTCAAGATTACAAGTAGATTGTGCGTAAGTACAACTTATTAAAGCTTCATATCTGAATTCGT